CACCACTGATGTAAATTCTTGGCTTGACGTGATTATTGTTGATAGTGCGGGAAAAGTAGGTAATTATTCAAAATCTATAACACCTTTCGTTGGTGGTCACGATTACCTATTCTGTAATTACAAACTTGAATTGAAAATAGCCTATGATAAACAAGTCAAATTTCGGGACTTCAAAAACTGTTACACACACACATACATACAGACATAGTGACAACATCGCGGGGGTAGTCGGGGAGGCTTCCTGTGACCTTCAAACGTCGAGATCTGATGAAAACTCGATTTTTGCAAAACGGGGTGAAAACAATAACTTCCCGATTTTTGAAAATCTGAGATTTTTAGCGGGAAGTTAAAAATAAGTTATGATTTTAATATTAGGCAGGAGCAGAGCAGACCAAAACATCCCATAGGAAATGTAACAAATTTTTTATTTCAAAATTATTTAAACGTAATGGTAAAAATAATTTTGCACATTTTGTGATGACCAAAAAAATTTTTTTCGTCGAAGAAAATATTTTTATCACATCTCTGACTATGTAAGTCTGATCAGATCTACCCGGAAAAAAATGATCAGACCTGACCATGCCTGTACACGTATGGTTAGGCCTAAAATTAGACACGGTTATGCCTATGCATGCCTGTTCATGTCTGAAGCGTTAAATACGCTTAGGTCTGATCATGCCTGTTCATGTCTGAAGTGTTAAATATGCTCAGGCCTGATCATACCTGTCCATGCCTGTTCATATCTGAAGCGTTACGTACGCTTAGGCCTGATCGTACCTGTCCATGTCTGTTCAAGTCTCAAGCGTTAAATACGCTCAGGCCCGATCATACCTGTCTATGCCTGTTCATGCTAAAGACCAAATATGCTAAAAAAATTTTTTTGAATATGTTCAGTGTATGTATATTAATTTCGATTAATAAATTTGTAAATTATCAATGAACGGTATATTTTATAATTCAATAAATAAAAGTATTTTGATTACCATTAAAAACCTACCGTACACGGAGAGAATTTAATGGTAAATACAACTATCCGAGTATTGTAAAAACAGGCTTCTTAGTATGACTGATTGCAAGAACTATCCAAATTGTTAATTGAAACATCCAGATAGTTACATTTACCATCTGGATAATAATTATTACTATCTGGCTGGTAACTTAAAGATGGTAAACTTAATCATAATATATGCTAACCGCTAAAATCATGTGGATTGTAAATTCTACAATCATGATGGTAATTATTATCATCGTAGCTAGGAATATGATTAGTCACTATGTGACTACCGTGACTTATGAATTATAAATAAACAAAAACTTCGCTTTATTAAATAATGACTTTTTTTTAAATTGCACTGTACTTTCTTAGATATTGACGTTTTTGAAAATATAAGCATATACGTTTTTGAAGATATAAGCATATATTTTATATATTTATATATAATATATATAAATATATAAAAAATATGAAAAATTGATGTGGGTACTCAAATGAAAAGTCTCGATGAGTGTAATGTCGGGATGAGCTTATATCTTTAAGAATGTCAATAGTTAACAAGATAAAAGGTCATTTCTTAATTATGTGTCTAGAAATGGAGCATTTTCGAATGCAGCCTAAATACTTATCATGATAAATTGACTATCGATGAGAATGATATGAAACCTTGAAAAAGCGGAAATTCAAGCCAAGATCTTTGCAATGACACTAAATTTCACTAAAAAAACCGATTTTATCATATGACTGTCCTGGAGACAAAATTTTTGTTATTCTCTTAATAATATAGATATACTTTTTTCAATACTCACTCTTGTGACAGGGAAAATCGTACTTCCCGGGGTCATTTTCGACCCCAATAATTGACGCACGGTAGGTAAGGGCTTTCCCTTACCGTTCGATTTTTTTTGACAAGAATTTCGACTTATTACCGGGCGTGCAAATCACAGGTCCCTACTACTGTCCCCGAAAAACGAAGCGGGGTGTAACTATGGGAAAGTTCGAGAGCCCGAGTTCGGGGTTATAAAAGAGCGTGCACGAACATGATCGAGGCTTTTTCCTCTGGAAGCCAGTGGCCTGTTGCCTTTTGTAAATCAATGACCTTTTTTTAAGATCAGTTTAAATTAGACAGTGCAGTCTTGGTAATTGAGAAGCAACTACGGAGGAGTTTATCATGGTGTTTGGAATTGGACAAGCCCTGATCGGGGGCCAGCATCGTGGGTTGAGACGACAAGACGTCAAGCAGCTGAGCCAGCCAAGTTGGACCGGAGTATCAATCGTCATTGGTTAAACAAAAGTTGAGTTACCAGGTATTTTTGATTATTTTAGGCCAGAATTGATTAATTATTCAATTAAGAGGCTGAAATAATTAAAGTTAATTTCTCGAGCGGTCATTGTTACATTAGAAAGTTTAGTACTTTAGAAATTTATGCGTCAAGGTCATTTAGTTTGTTTTCGTTACTGGATGTTTATCTTTAGAGAATGAAATTAATAGATTATTTGTGAATTTAAGGTAGATAATTGAATCAGTAATTTATTATAGGCCTGTTGGCTATAATAAATTAATTTAGTTAATAATTTCAAGATATAAAGAAAAGTGAATTTGTATAGTAAAGGAAAATGCGTAATTAAGTCAGTGAAGGTCATTCTAGTATGTTCTATAGTTGAAAATTTTGTATTGAGATGCTAAGATATTAACAGTTGATGTTTAGAATTTTGTTTAGAAAAGATTAATTTAGTAAATTTTGTAACGAGTTCAGTAGAATTTATTAATTGAAAATATTAGCAGAAAATTTAGTAAGTGAACTAGTACAGAAATTTAGTGATTATTTAATGTAGTTGAATTTATTTGCAGTAAATCAGTGTTGAAGTGAAATTAAGTAGATTATGATAGCATTGTAAGTTTTGGAAAGTTTAATTTAGGCCGGTGGATAATGTAATTGAATTGTTAATTTATAAAAGGTGCATAATGAATTTATTAAGAAATTGTTTGAATTTAAAGATAATTTATTAGAAAATTTCGATAAAGTAATTCGGTGAATTTAGTAAATTTAGTAAATCTGAAAATTGGATTTTATTTATGAATAATTGTTGAGAGGTTATTTAAGAAGATTTAAGAAATGAGTTTAGATAATAAGAAATTTATGAGTGATTAAATTTAGTAAAACAGAATATGTGAAGAGTTTTGTTGAAGAATTGTGAATTATGATTATTATTATTATGAGGATTAAAATTTGGAATTTTAGTTCAGTAGTGATTTAGATAAATGAATAAGAATTAAGAATGAATATGAATTTGGAAACTTTTTATGAAATTAGGGAATTTTATATTGTCAGTTATTCCGCCAAATGACGAGGGTTTTAAGTAATTAAGGAATAGAAGATAGATGCGTTATGGTCTATAATTGAGTTAAAATTTAAGAATCTAGATGCGTAATGGTCTATGATTAAATTTGGAATTAAAGATAGATGCGTAAAGGTCTATAATAGAGTTTAGGAATTAAGAAGATAGATGCGTAATGATCTATGGTGAAAAGAATTTAAGGATATTTAGTTTATAAGGATTTTTGGCAAGTGCCTGTTGAGAAAGCGTTTCTCGGAAATTTATAATTGGATTTGGACTGTGAAACAGTTGGTTATTTGTAATATTTTAAGATTTATTTATTGTTCAATAAAATTGATCAACGAGAGAAAATTGTCCTCAGTATTTATTTTCAGCCTATCTCAACTTCTCACGACCCGACTTTCCTGCTCGTGCTCTTCCGGTTTCTGGGACACCGCGAAAATAATCCCAGTGGCGCCCTTTTCATGAGGAAAGGGGTGATCAATTGAACAGGGTTAACCACCCCGTTACACTCTTATGTCAAACATTAGAATGTTATTATATTCTGACTCTAAAATCGAAAAAGTTTAGTTTTTTATACTCCCTGTTTATTTTTTTTATGATTGCAATCATGATGATTTTAACTATCTCCGATAATAAAAGTTACCATCTAGATAATAAACCGTATCATCATAATTGTGGGAGTTAATATATTTTGATTGTACTAATTACAATCGCCGGATAGTTGCATTTATCATCTTAACTTTGCAAAAGTTAATAACCATCTTGGATTGTAGAAGCTACAAAATAGGGATGATTACCGTTAACATAAAATTCTCTCCGCGTAGGGTAAATTTAATTAACTTTTCTAGGCATGGACAGGTATGAACAGGCCTGAGCGTATTTCACGTTTCAGAGATAAACAGGCATGGACAGGCCTGATCAGACCGGAGCGTATTTAATCCTTCAGACATGAACAGGCCTGATCAGACATAAACAGGCCAGATCTGGCCTGAGCGTATTTGACGCTTCAGACATGAACAGGCATGAATTGGCATGATCATGTCTAATTTCAGGCCTGATCATACATGAATAGGCATGGTCAGGTCTGATCATTTTTTCCCGGGTTTATAAAAAGATATAAAATAAAAAATAAAAAATCCAAGTAAGCGATATGATTTTCGGAAATTAAAAAAAATTTTGTTGTGAATGCAAAAATTACAAGAAATAATTTTGGAACGTACTTAGTGTGCGTCATTGTGTATTTCAAATTTTTTTATTCCTAGTAGATAGATTTCACGAATTTCATAAAAAGTAAAATATTCTGCAACCACCTATTTATTTTAAAGAAAGGAGAGGAGTTTAGCTGCTAGATTCTGATGTCACTAAAAATTCTGAGTATTTTCAGCTCTCTCTATTTATTGCGTTTATATTTTTTTCTTCCACTATTGCAAAAACTCAAAACTTTGATAATAACTGCTATGAAAATTAATGAAAATAATTTTTGTTACAAAAATATGCAGAAAGTACTTGGTAGGATTTTAAAAATTTTTCATATTAAATCTAATCACATCTAATTGTTTAAACATATTGGTTTTGCGAACTTCCAGAACAAACGGAATTCATTAGGTTGATATACGATAGAGAAAAATAATGTTTTTTTAATTTTTCATAATCAATATCAATACTATAAAAATTCGAAATTTATACCATTTAATTTGAATAATTCTTTCAAATAATGTAGTCGTGCATAACTATCGGTAAAATTTCCTGCATGTTGTGTGGTAGCTAATAAAGCTAATCCAGTGCACATATTTGCATCAAAACCATTTTGCTGAGTCATTAAATCTATTCTCAATGCTGCTGTTATTTTACTTTTAACTGAAGATTCTACAGAATGAATTACAAATGACATAGGTGCCACTACTTCACCATTTTCACTAAACCCACACTCTTCATTTGATAGCATTTCATGAACTTGACCAGCGGCCATCCGCCCGATAACACTTTGCATACTATATAAAACTTGTGGATGGATACATTTACCACTTCTTGTCCAAGCACGGTAATAACTTAGGTCTCGAACACATGAAACAATTGCTTTTTGACCATGTTTGTTACAAAATTTCATATCGATTCCAATAGGTCTCAAATATCGATAGTGAATTATTAACGTATTAGTACTTTCATTGTAGTAAGATTCTATAGTTTTTTCGTAGTGCGTAAATTCAACACAATAGATAACATAAAAATTATGAGTTTTCAAATTAGTTTCGACAATATTAACATTTTTGCTCTTGAAAGTAAGCAGTTTTTGATTACTTGAAATTACTCCAAAGATAAGACACTTATCTATTTCACGATTGATTGGTGAATACTTCACATTAAGGAATTGTAATGATTTACTATTTCTTCTACTCTTCCGACCGGTATTTATATCGTTTTCATTTTTTACTGATGCGTTACTTTTTTCAGATTGAAAATGAGTATGTTTTTTATCATGCGCATTGTAACCAGAATCTTGAGTCATAAATTTTACGGCCAATGTAACTGAAATCAATTTATTTGGCGCATTAGCCACGAAAGTCTTATCCAATATAATACCATCTTCAATACAGCCACCACCGACATCTCCAAAAGCACAATATAATACTAGTTGATTTGTATTTCGATCAGTGTAGTCGTTGCTGCATAACAAACTGAACAACTTGGTAGTATACAAATTGTAGTAATCTTCACATTCTGTCATGATTTCCATAGATTTAAACATCGAAGAATTTTGAATCCTCTGTGACTTGAAAGACTTATTACACAATTTTTGAGGTGCTGTTATAGTATAACTGTTACGATTGTACTTCCGTTTCTTTCGTAGGCGTTCTGGTGATTTGCACGTTGTTTCTGTACTAATATTATCAATTTCATTAATACTGCTGATGGTTAATGGTGTATAATTATACAGAGGTATCACTATACTGTCATTGTTGATTAAGACTCGAAGATGTTGCTTGTATTCGGGTATATTGGTTATCGTTTTCACAGTAGCCCGATGAAGCAAATTAACTTCATTTTCATCATTGTTCATAATGAGAGAGAATCGATTATCAATAAACAAATATTTAGTAGGCAAAATGGATTTTAAAAATTCTAAATAAAACTCATTGCTGGCATCCGCGTTTGGATCAATCATACTGGTAATAACACCAAAAAACTCACTTCCGTCGCGGGGTATGGCTGATTGCGGTGACTTAAGTATCGTAGCATCTAACTCTTTGAAATAATTGTCAAGTATTGATTGATTATTTGGCTTAATATCCCATCTCTCAGCGTATTTTAGCCATGCAAACGCAATATGGTTTTCTCTAGCGATAGGTAATAATTTTCCTTCACCGCCATCAGAATTATTGTTATTTTTGCACAATGATATTCTTGAATATTTTTTATTCAGGGAGAGCAGTTCATTTTCCCCATGACGTTGATAAATAATAGCACTATTGTAACCAATTGATGTAAGAAAAGCTTGGGCTTTAAATCTACTATTTAACACATTACATGCACCTCGTATATTATTTATTGTAACAGTGCATTTTGGAGGTGGTGTTTTTAGTATAGATGATGATAATTGTCGAGCAAAACAACCAAAACGGCTAAACTGTGAGTAATTATCGAAACAGTCAGGAAACAAATTTTGTGCTTCGTATGGCGACACAAATATATTATACTTACTGCTGTACTTAACTAAGACATACCCCTTAGTATATGTGAATAAATACCGATGTCCTAAGCGAAAAAATGTTATCATGGGGAGTCGTCGCTTAAAGTTTATCAAAGAGATCAGAGAGTTTTCAACGTAACAATTAGTTAGAAAGCCATTGATAATAATTCGTAAGCCACCTGGAGTATCATATTCATGAGATTGGAATATCTCTTGTTGAATTAACTTTTCATTGATCGGAAGTGTGATAGTGACATAATGAGCAAAACTGATTGTCTCACCTGCATCTTTCATTTCTTTGCATGTTAAATAACATATAAAGTAATCAGCATCGCGTGGGTACAGCAACGCTTTGCTATTCCTTGTCTGCCGGTTAATTGACCGCTTTGTCAAATCTAAAGTATATCGAATTTTATCATGCTTTTGACCTTCAATATTCAAATACATGTTCGCAAAATCTTTAATTAATGTCATGTGTTTTTTCTTTGATAAAACGTAAAAAAGATTACCACTCTCAAAAATTTGTTTTAATTTCGTATGCTTAGTCATAGTCACAACTCGATAAAGGATCATAGGAGCTGTTATAATAGTTTTATTCGCTAAGTCATCTATTTGCGGATAGTCTTTCAACAATAATTGAAATACGTCGATGTATGTTTCTACTGTGGTATCATTACAATTATAAGGATTAACATGGTTAATGAAGTTAATCCAATTTTCATTGTCTTTGTTCGAATCATCAGGATTTTTTTTACGGGAGTTGTCATTTCGATCATTTTTATCAAACTCTAAAAATGAAAAGAAACAATCATCATCAGTTGAAGTGTTATTTAAGCTTGTACTATCAGTGAACTCACATAAAACTTGTTCTGATTTTACTGTAGAGTAGTACAGACGACATGTATTACTACTGGTTTTTACAACCCAACGAACACAACGTTCATCTTTATAACTATAAATGTGTATAGAATTTAAATTATTTGTTTGAAAATTCGGTAAAATTTTTAATGAACCATTAATGATGAAACATCCAAATACATCAGGATCTAATTCATGTTGGGGTCGTAAGTGTAAATCAATCATCGAGCCAAGCATAATTGGAAAACACATATGTCGTATACGGCTGTCATCATTAGAAACGATACAAGCAAAATATGATTGTTTCTTGATGAAAATATTTTCGTAAAAATCGATTGGATCATAATGTCTGTGATAACATTGACAATTGAAAATTATGAAACGATTATTAAGATAATTGTACAAGTGTAATGAAGATATTAACCAGAAATCATCAATTTGTAATAGTTTCTTTTTCTTGGTCGGTAATTGTAGAGGAGTACCATCATAATTAGAAGGTATTGATTTCGTCCAACAAGAAAATAAAAAAGAAATAATTACAGAGAAAGAAATTACAGAATTTACAATAAATTCAATTGAAAATGTTGAAGAAATCCTGTACACTGATTTTACTTCATTAGTTGCCAAAAATATGATTGATGAAAAGAGACTAATTTTTGATATTGATTCTCATGACAAAACGTTATTAAAAAAAAGCGATAAAATTGAAAAATTCCATTCAACAGTTACTTTAAATGAAAACGCTACTTCCAAATTCGATGATACTTGCAAAAGTACTGATAATAAAGAAACAAGTAAACTAAAGTTGAAACAGCAACTTGAGGAATCGGAAAATGGTGGAACAGAAAAAAATGTCGAAGAACAAAACAGCAAAGAGTCTTTAATGGACTCGACTATTCCGAAAAAAATTCGAAAACCAATAATAGTATTTCTTCATGGATTTGGATCCTCTGCCGAAGTCTTTGAAAATCAACTTCAATATTTTTCAATGATGGGTTATCCGTGTATAGCTCCTGATTTGTTGGGTCATGGTATGAGTTCTGTTCCTGATAAAAAGCGTGATTATCATTTTGATAAGCTACTTAATGACTTGGAAGAAGTTCTTTATCATTATGCTTTTAAATTTGGACAAAAATGTGTCTTAGTTGCTCATAATTACGGGTAATATGGAATTTTTATTTTTTTCTATAATTTATATAACAATAATAACAACTTTTTTTGTAACGCCAAATAAGAAAAAATATTCGATGTCTTACCCACATTATCATTAATTAATACACAATAAACAATAACTAAAATTTTATTTCATCGATGTAAGAACTTAAGTGTACTTGACTATATAAGCGGTAATATTGCAATTTATTGCAATCACTGCTCTAGAAATTAGAAACGTTTATTATACATGGAATATTATACTACCATGTATATAACTATATTTTACCGAATTTTCAATTCAATACTCCCACATTTGCATCATACCAATGAGCAGCTTAAATTTTCCTTAAGTCCCCGTAAATAAGTTAATTTTTCAGCATAATTGACATTTTAACTTATTTTTGAAAAGAAATTTATTGTTTCATTGTAATGGAGGGAAGGGTGGTCTATTTTATGTAAGAAATAATAACAATTCTTAACGGTGACTCAAAATTTGTTTTATTTACATCATATACTATAAAGAGAATCTGGTGAACGGTTGACCTCAAAGGCCATTCCTAGAACTTCCTGTTATTATCGCATTCAAAACGCTCGAAAATACACATACCTAGTTGCAGTTATAATTAAGTACTATAAATAAGACATTGGATGGTTATTTGAAAAATTAAAAAATTATTTCGATGAAGCCAATACTGAAATTTAATGCGGCCTACAGCATTTAACGCAGTACTTGAAGTACAGAAAAATAACTGAATTCTGAAAAATAATCCGAAAAAAAATAGGAGTTAGTCTGAAAGTCAACGAGATAAAACAAAAATCTGTGATGTAATCTGCAACTTGAATTCTATAAAACTAACAATTGTGTATGTAAAAAATAATTTATTTAGCCCTGATTAAAAAAAAGTATTGAGACAAAGGAAAAAGTATAGAAAAGAATTGGTTTTCTAGTCAATCCAATTCTCTTTTCTTTGTCTCAATACTTTTTTTTATTCAGGGAGATGATATAAACTTCGAGCATTGACGAGCACATGTACGCAAGTAAGCGAATAACTTTATATTACATTAAAGAAATTCATTTAGTGTAATTAAAACTCGTGATTCTCTATAAATTTTCATTAAACGTCAATTTAATAGCTTTTTGGAGAAAAAATTCAAAGTGCGCACCGTTATCTTGCTATTAAAATTCCATATTATTCGATTTGATGTAAATTTTTCGTGACGAAATTTTTAGGATCAATTTGGATGAATTCATAAAAATTGAGTAATTTGTCAAGGATAAATCGACCACAAAACAATTTATGATTAAATCTAATTAACTCTAAGACTTAAAAAAACGCTATAATTTGAAAGCTCATAATAATTTGTGGTTATGGCCAAACATGACTCCCGCAGTGATTTAATTACTTGACAAAATGTTATGACGCTAATTAAATTAAAATATACTGATTAAAAATAAATTAAATTAAACATGTTCTCTTATTTGACTTAATAATCACAGAAACGTAACACTATTGATGTTTTCAGATGTAGCTTAGCAACAGCTTTGGCAAATAAATATACACATGAAATTCATCGATTGGTTCTAATATCTGGTGGTGGGCCAATACCTTTAGTATCGCCGACGAAAGAAGGTGCATGTCATTGCTGTTTAAGGATAATTTTATCTCCACTCTTAATGTGTGGTTTCCGGCGAGATATATTATATGCAACAAGAGGTCGACAGCATCCTTATTGTGGTTCAGAACAAAAAAATCAATGGCCTCTTCATATGAAATATGTTTTGGATGGTATGTCATGGCCTGAAGGCGATTATCTTTTTCACAGAAGAGTCTGCGTTCCGACATTGCTTATACATGGACTTAAAGACGACAAGGTGTCACTTGTGCAAGAATGTCAAATGGAAAGAGTAAGTTACAAATTTTAATGTTCAAGTATATATAATTGAGAATTTGCTTCCTTTAAAACCATAATTTTTGTATTTCAGACTATGCCGAAAGCTAATCTTGAAGCTATTTCAAGGGCTGGACACTTACCTATGATAGATACTCCGAATCAAGTTAATCACATGATACATTGTTTTATTAATTTACTAAGTAAAAAAACATGATACAATTAAGGAAAATAAATGATAATCAATATGTTTATTATTATATATATATATATATATATATATATATATATATATATTACACTTGCTACAGTTTTATAATTGTTTAAACTAATAGTTGATAGCATTTAGATAAAAGATAATTGGCAATTTAAATAATGTTTTTCCTAATTATTTAATTTGATTAATTATTTTACAGATAAACATTTAAAAACGAGTAATAGATTTTTAGGTATTGTAATATATTGACTGAGAATATTTGTCTATACGTAAATAAGTAAAAGTTTTATAAGATTATTATTAAAATTAGATGAATATAATTGACCATTACTCAAATATATGTTGAAATTATATAATGAAAATCGTCAAAACTACTTAATTTCGCAAATTATAAGAATTACCAAAGACGATTTATAATAAGTTATTTTATTTATCTTATTGTATTTATTGATTTATAAGAATTAGAAATTATTTTTATCTATAATGATCACATTTTTTCATGCTTAAAAATAAACTAGTTACTTGTAAACCTTTGATTTAACGGATTATCAGGTGACTTCATCCATTCTTTTTTCAGTAGTTGTTTTAACTGGCTAAGTCTTAATGTTGGATTTTGATCTTTAATTATTGGCATCATTTGCTCTTCAAAACAATTATAAGCTGCTTTCATTCGTCTCTCTGGGTGACGATCAATTTCTGGTTCTTTCATGCTGCAAAAATATTTATATATATTATTAAAAAATGCTAAAACTTTAATTATAAGTAGGAATTCAAATTGCGCGCATACGCGCGCGCTCTAATCCTGAACCAATAAGAAATCAGAGGACACTATTTATATTAGAATCGATATAATTTCGATACTAAACTAACTTCATTTTAGTCATCAATTTTATATTATAGGAGAAAGTCTATAACATCTGAATGTACCTTAATAATGTTAGCGCTTCATTTATTCCATGAGCAGATTCTCCTTCCAAGTTGAGCCTATTAAGGTTTTCTTCGATTGGTTTCTCTACTTCTTTCTTTTTACAAGCCACTTGATTTCGTTTTTCTGTTTCTAACATAATTTCTGCTCTTGTAATTTTTGAACTAGGTTGTTTACCGCCAACCTTTATAGTAGCTAACTCTTTTTCCAAGAGAGCTTTTGCCTCAGCTTTTTTTTCTAGCTGTTGTAATCGTTTTCTTTCCAGCTCTTCCTAGATTATTTAATAAATTTTTTTACTATTAATGTCCAGACATAATAAAAATTATGGATCAAGTCAACTCATTTTATCCGCTTTATAATAACAAAAAAAAAATCTAAATTAATTTCAAACGTTTCATTTAGCATCTGATTATGTAATATCAAACCAAAATATTGTTCAATTATTAAGTAATATGGTTATTTTCAGATATCTCCTAAGAACGATTTAAAAAAAGTGAATGATTAAAAAATTTATCATGAAATATGAGAATTAATTAAAGATAAAGGCCCAAAACACATTCGTCGAATTTTTCAAGCGACGAAATAAATTGAAAAAATAATCAAAAGTCGACAAATAATAGTTTAAACTAAAGATAATTGTGAGAGTTTCAAAATTAATTTAATAGATGTGAGCTATCTTTCACGTCTGAAAAACAGTCATTAAAAATAACACGTCATTAAAAATAAAGTAATAATTTAAAACAAGACATTCAAGAAAATTGTGAATGTTAAATAAATAGAAAAATTAATTTTTTCGAGAAATTGTTTATTTTTATCTGTCGTATAATGTGAGAAATAAATTTAAAAGCAATTACATTACGTGTTCATGTCTATTTTAATTATTAATATCGTAGATCGACCGTAAAATAATAAAAAAATTTTTTTTTTCAAGTCTACTTAATTATAGGTAGATTTCTTCAGAAATTTAGCTATTGTAGTCGGTCTTATGTCGCAATTTTACGAAAATTTTGGTTATATATGTTTTATTTCATCGAGTAATGATGAAAAATAGCATTGGCTCAAAAGTATATGTATTTATGTATATATGTGATATAACATATAACATGTGATGAAATCCGAATGGATTCAATCTAACAATTACTATATTAAATCATAACAAAATTTTATTTCTATTCTTAATTAATCGTAACATTAATAACATATATGTTTGATTACTTTTCGAAATTGTTTGTATAGAATAAGTCCAATATTTATTGAAAAAAATAACACAACGATCAACTAACTAAGCAACAACAATATAAATAATATTGAAAGGTATGTTACCTGTTTCTGTTTTTTTTTCAACACTTGTTTATCATCATCTTTCCAAGCGTTGTCTTCTGCATCTTGAATTTTCCTCATATTCTCAGCTTCCTTCATAGCAGCTTTTCTTGCTTTGGCTACAACTGCCTTGCTATTTTCACCCGTAAATTTTTTTGGCATTTTAGTTGAAAAATCTTAAAAATTAAGACGATTTCAAATATTGGCGCTCTGTGCTGAAATAAAAATATTTACAAAGTTGGTATACTTTAATAACGATCATGTCAATAGCTTGTTACCAGAATTTTGTAGGTTACAACTCACAAGTCAAAATATAAATAATAACATACAATTAGACAAATACTCAAATTTTTTTTGAAAAAAAATAAATATCGTTATTTACAAGAATGACTTTAGACCAGTATTAGTAAATGTGAAAGTTACTTCAAAAATTGATAGAAAATAAAAATACTTTTGCAGTACACATAATTGAATAAACAGTTAAAATGTTTTTATTCAGTATAAATTTTATAATGACTTACGAGGTGACAATAGTAAATTAAACGATTAATTCCTTATTTGTATCAGTCAATTATTAAATATAAATGTTTGAATTAACACCATCATATACACGTGGTAGTATAGGTAATGTAATTCTAACAAATGTAGGTATGTACCGACCAAAGAGTATAAAATAGAGAGAGAGAGAGGAAAGAGAAAGGTCGCGAATGTCTCGACTCAATTGCCATCTGGTAGTTGTGTTCAAGTACTGAATTACTGTCATGGCGATTCAAAGTACAGCGTCAATCACATAGCTAAATGCGTAGTTCTGTAACTATTAAATAAGCATGATACAGCGTGATATACAATGCTTTTCAATGATTTGTACCGGTCAAAATTTTACGGAAAATGGGAACATCAAAATTTGGACAACTCTTATTAGTAAAGAAATCACTAAGTAAAAAATTTTTATAAATATCGTATTGGAAATAATAAAAAAATTATTTGTGTAAAAAAGGATGATTTAAAATTTCGATAATAATAAAGGTAGTAATGTAAAAATTCCGAAAAAATTGGAAATATTTTAAAAAAGATAAGCATAAAATTATAAAATTTAAAAAGAAGATATCCGTGAAATTAGACAAACCATAGAGCAAACAAGTAAAATGACAGATATTTCAAAAAATGGATAAGAATAAATTTAGACAATTCAATAAAAAGACAATTGAAAATTTAGAAATATAAAAAAGTAGACAATCTTAATTATTCGTTAACTTAAAAAATGGACATCTCTAAGTATAGACCAGTAAATTTAGATATCTTTAATTTTGGACATCTCTAAATATTTACATATATAAATTCTTACAATTCATAAGAAAGACGATTAAAAACGTAGTAATCATACAAAATAAACGCTAAGGAATTTAAAATACAAAAGATATCTAAAAATTGATTAATTTTCCTGTGACCGCTGCTCTAGGAAGTTATACAGTTAATTACGATCGATTATCCTGTAATTTTTAAAACATACCAAGATTTTGGTTTTAATCTTGGCAAAAAATATTTATGTGGACCCGGACTGCCAACAGCTCCAGTGAACGCTGCTCCAGGGAGTTGTGACGATATTTGCGACCTATTGACCTGTAATTTTTAAAACCCACAGAGATTTTGATTTTAATCTTCCCTAGCGGTTTCGACGACTCAGCGTAAACTAGCCCGATGAAAAAAGTTTTTGTCTAATTATATATGATCATATATAATTATATATGATCATATATGAAATCATACATGATTATATATAGGGTCATACATGATTATATATAGGGTCATATATAATTATATATAAGCCGATACATGATTAGATCTGATCATATACCTGGTTGTTATAACCCTATATATAATCATATATGAGTCCATGGCTCCCTGGACCCACCTTGGATGCGATAAGGGCGTATGAACTAAATTTTTTTTTTGGCAACCGACGTATTGCACGACTCATGATGCGGAGCATCAGAGAGTGCTTTACGATCGAAAAATTTTTTTCACCTCATTTCGGCAACTATTTTCATTATTATAGTCTTGTTAGTTCACGGAATGTAGATATTTTGCATACTATTATCAAGATAATTTAATGGAGATTAATTTGACACTTTTCAAAAATTGATTTAGTGCACTAGAAACGGAAAAAAACATCAAAATAGGTCAAAAAATTTTCCTGTCCGTCATGTATGAAACCCTCAAAACTCTGAAATACTCTAACTTTCGAAAAAATGCATCAATTGAATTAAATTTTTTTTTAAATAATTCTTGAAAAGAATTGTAGGTCACGGATTGCGAATGGCTAGGTAATTCAGTGTCGTTCATGTACAATTAATAAAATAAAAAAGCCAGGAGACTGTATATCTATATATAGAAACGATGTGGGTTTTAGAAATCAGTTTAATTAAATTGATTGATAATTATTAATTAATTATTAATAATATTAATTAATTATTAATTATTAATTATATATATATATATATATATATATATGTAAAATTTACATGGATGGTGATATACTTATGTACATTTATTCCACCAGGGGCGCCTGCGCATTACCTTCCTAGTACAGCTGTTTTTCGGCAACTGATTTTGAACGACTTATGTTTTTTTTTTTTTAATATTTCATAATTAAATGAGCATTATGAGTCGTGTACTTTTGGATTTTCCAAACTTTTTTTGTATGAAACGTGTAGAAATGCAAAAAAAAATTTTTCTCTTAACTAAAAATTTTTTTGGTCTTAGAAATAAAACAAAACTTTTATTATACGCCCTTATAGCATCCGAGGTGGGTTCTGGGAGCCATAAGAGCGTATAAAAAATTTTTTTTTTGGGGAATTAACTTATTTTTACCTAAAATGTCGAGAAATGCAAAAAAAAATTTTTTCCAAACTAAAATTTTTTTTGGACTTAAAAAAAAAATTGAATTTTTACTATACGCGCTTACGGTTCCCAGGTTCTGTACGGGACTCCCCAAAGGCCAGCTGAGCACAACTCAGCAAGGAAAAAAAAAAGGTTTTTATAAAATAAATTTATCATCACTAGATGGAGACATAAGGGAAGAGATTATACTTATCGATCATTTATATGCAGTAGATAATCATCAGGAAAACTATGTAACGACACTTCTCCTCAAGAGCTCAAACCGCTAAAAGCTTATCGTTATAAACTTGGAATAATATATGTTGAAGTTTAGTCTCAGTTAAATTAATTAATAAACAATAAATCAAGATAGTTCTGATAATTATAAAAATTAAATTTTTTTAAATTTTATTTTATTAAATTAAGTTTCCTTCTCCGCGCTGAAAACGAGTATTTTAATACTCTCAGGCGGATGGACAATAGTTGGTAAATTTTTATGCAAAATAAATTAATATCCGCCAGATGGAGGCATAACACTTGCTATGTTGTGATGCACCTAGTTGCATTCAACAGGTGACGCTACCTGTTATTAGACCGCTGCCTGTTATGAGAGCGGGAATTCAAATAAAATTTTCGAATGCTAAATATGGTATAATTAAAACCCAGTGAACACATGACGTTCATCTGACGTCAGTCGAATGTCATAAGATTTTGACAAAAGTTTGACGTAAAACTGGCCTTCCCTATGATCTTATTATGATGTTAAAATCTGTGATGTCATTTTTACATCATTCTGATATAAAAAAAATGTTATGTCGTATTAAAGTCATTATTGTACGTCATAATCACGTAACTTTAGCATCATACATTTACGTCACTGGTAAGTCACGGTTTTACGTAATACTGATGTAATTTTCAAGTCATACATTTACGTCACTGGTAAGTCACGATTCTACGTAGTACTGACGTGAGTTTCAAGTCCCTATTTTACATCAGTTAAAAGTCACAGTTGTACGTAATATTGACGTAAGTTTAAAGTCATCTTTTTACATCACTCAAAAGTTCTGATTGTACCTAATACTGATGTAACTCTGAACTCTTTTTCTTACATTAGTGAAAAGTCACGATCGTACGTAAGGTTGATTTCATTTTGAAATCATCTTTATACCCTGTTAAAAAAAAAAAAAGTTTTGAAGATAATAGAAACCAGTTATGAAAAAACCAATACTTTACAATTCTTTTGCAATACTTGTTTTTATCAGGATGCGTCAGTGTTAAGTTACAGTTTGACATGATATTGATGTAACTTTGGAGCAATGGTTTTCCATCATAGATTCGTTGGAATTAAGCAGTAAAAAATTCATTTAAAGAAAGTATAGGGTAAGTGGGAGGACAAAACGGAATTTATCTAAGGAAATATTAAGTTTTTGGGGACCCAAATATTGTAAATCGTCTTCATTTTAATTCTGTTTAAGATAAATAGCACTAATTTTAAACTGGCGTTTAGAAAAAGGTTTTTTATTTTTGAGGGCAAAACGGGGTACTCCTTAAAAAAAGTCAAAAATAATTTTTTCACAAAATAAGTATCAACTTTGACAAAGTCAAATTTTTGCGAGCAATTTTGCTACAAAAACTCACTTTTGACCTAATGAGTATGAGAGTGAACTTATAAGGCAAATTTTTTGTGAAACTTATTGTATTTTTTAGTAATTATTGGATCTATAATGGAAAATGAAAAATTTAATAGTGAGAAAAAACCGTGATCATTTAGAAGTTGGAATAAATTATTTTCTATGCATACTACCCATAAAGAAGTCTGAATTTTTCCCGATTTTCGACCTGCTGTATCTCAGTGAAAAATGATCGTATTGCAAATCTAAAAAGATGCATTTTAAGGCTTTAAAACTTCATGATTATAGTTCATGATTATAGTTTACTGACAAAAAATTTTAGCTAAAAATGGCATGAAAGAGAACTTTTTCAAAATTTTTAATTTTTTTTTTTCGTCTCAGAGGCTTAGAAAAATTTTTTCGTTTCATGACTTGACAGGTCCTCATAAAAAATTCATTCCAGCTTCCGAAAATGTCTTCTAATTTGCTCTGCGACCATTGATAGCTGAAATATTAATAGTTGATGAAGACAAATGCTGGGCTTTTGCAAAAGTATTGCTTTTATGAAAGTAATATAATTCTCTTTAATTATGTTTTATGAATTTTTTTGAATTTAGAAAAAAAATTGTCAACTTTAAGTTGCATTTTGCGTTTAATTGGATAATCTAAACATTTTTGTTTTCAACATTCTGAATTCATGACGTTAATATGACATCGCCATGACGTTCTTATGACCAATGAAAGATAAATTCATATAGTTAATCAGAGTTGATATATATATATATATATATATATATATATATATATATATATATATTTAAGGTTCTTAAACAGCCTAAATTTCATAATGACCACGTTTTGAAAAGTATACCTAATTACCAATGGAATTAGTTTCATTATCCTCTTTTTTTCTTTCTCTAACTTTTCTGTAATAAGAATTTAAGTACTTGGGCCTTACTTCCTCCTACAAATTTGGGTACTTAAAGGAAATGCACTTCACTATTTTCAACAGTTATTCAAGAGTATCGACTCAGACATTAACCTCGAAAATTTAGAAATTTTGATTCGATAAAAATCAATTTGTTGTGTCAGTTTTTTGATTTTTTTATTATAAAATTTTCATCTTTTTTTCTCTTCGAATATTATAAACATGACTTCTAAACAATCCGGAGGGAAAACACGAAGTGATATAGCATCTCTTTTTGAGTACGTTGGGAATCATGATAAATGTAAAGTTTTAAGTTGTGGTTATCAATCTGTAAGTACATCGAGTATTAATTTTTATTTGTTAAAATTTTATTAAAACGCTTTAATAATGACGTTTGTTAGTTCATATCAAACTAAATGTTAAATGTTTTTCGTTGTTTTTTTTTTTTTTTTTTATCAATTTAACAGAATTAGAAATATGTTCAATTAAATTATTTCAAAATTTTAAATTACTATTGTTATAAAAATTTATTAAATCTGATGGTATTGTTTTTTCCAGAAAGAACATACTTCTAATCAAAGACGTCATTTGAAGGATCGACATCGCGAAATTTATGACCAAATATATCCATTCAATCAACATGAGAGTGAGTTTTCTACTACTGAGACGGAAGAAGAGTCAACAAAAGAGTCAACTTATTTAAATCGCGTAGCATTAAATAAAACGACTCTAAAAACGGCACTATTAAAGCTAGTCACAATCAATGGTCGCCCTTTTTCAATTCTACAAGACGAAGGAATGCGAATGATTTTGGATCCATTAATTTCTCGAATGCCAGAGAAAGTAATCATCAATGAAGAGACTGTGAAAGATGATGTAATCAACACTGCCAATAATATCAAGAAGACAATACAAAAAGAGGTCAAAGAATGCAATTTAGTCAGCTTGAAAGTTGATATTGCTTCTCGCTTAGGGCGATCATTTCTTGGAGTTAACATTCAGTATATTAGAGGCGGTAAAATTATAATCAGAACACTTGCTGTAGAAGAAATAACAGAAAGGCATTCCGGTGAAAACTTGAAGAATTTGATTTTGAGAACTTTTGATTTATACGGAATTGATGTGAAAAATATTTATTCCTTCACATCTGACAACGGTACAAATATGGTCAAACTCTCAGAATTACTGGCCGAAGAACAAAATTTGCCTGTGGAAGAAGATGATGCACGCAATGAATTAATGTGCAATATTGACAATACTACCCTTAACAATACCGGTAGTAACACAGACAATCCCATTGAAGAAGATATGGACTTCGAAATTAATGACTCTACAACTATGGATGACGACAATGATCTTGGATTTGATCTTGAATTACAACCAGATCTTTCAGAAATGGAATTGAGTGGCTCAATGGAAACACTGCAGCAGAGTTTTTCACTGGTTAATATTCGTTGTGCAGCTCATACGCTGCAGCTTGCAGTTCAAGCTGCAATCAATAAATCAAACCTTCAGAAATCATTGTCGAAAGCAAGAAACGCAGCTAAAATTTTTAGAGTCGACAGTACAATTAACGAAATCAGGCGTTTAAGATCGACTGCGTCGAAACCTGTTCTCGATTTGCCTACTCGCTGGTCATCTACGTATGATATGTTATTCTCTTTGCTTAAATTGGAAGACTTCAAAAGTTACGTTCCACCCTTGCGGTTTTCAAATCGTTCTGGAAATATTCTGTAATTATTCAGGAAACATTTTGTAATCTTGCTAGTTCCAGAGTGTTTTCAGAATGGCTTTGTGCGATTTTATTAGAAGATTTTCAGAATGAGCCCAGAGTAAAACCAGAGTTTATTTAAAGTATTTCCAAAGCAGCCTCAGAAATAGTCCCAAGCAGTTACAAAGCACAACCAAAGTGAATCCACTGTAAATCCAAAACACATCCAGAGTGTTTTCAAAATGAGATCAGAGTGTATCCACAATAAAAACAGAAAGGTTCCAGCATTTTCCCTAAATGAACCCAAAATGCTCCTCAAGTGGATCCAGCAAAGAACCAAAATGTATTTGAGAAGTTTCCGGAGTGAATCTTAAGCAAACACACAGTAAAAGTAGAATGGATCTATAATTATTTTAACGTGGATTTTGAATAGAATTGAAGTAAATTTAGTGCGTGATGTCGGTGAATCTAAAATGAATTTACGTTGATTTTATAGTTCTTGGAAGTCATGCATCTATATTCAAATTATATTTTCGGTTTAGTTTATATAGAAACAATAACCACAAGATTAATAAGAGATCGTTAAATTAGTGAAGAGTTATTCTTATCATATGTTGACGGAAGGTATAAAATTCCTTTGACCTTATCCACTGAAAGAGTGATAAAAATTATTGATAGTTTTTTAGTTTTTAGACATTTTGTTCGTCTAATTTAAAAGTAAAAAAAATAATCATAACATTTGGCACACTAAACGTTTTGTTTAACAAAATCATCGTTAAACACCACTTTATTATAATAAATAATAATAAACCTAAAATTGACAAAGTGTTAATATTTTTTCGTATCAACGCTAGACTTCTAGCCATACATTAACCCTTAAATAATAACTTTCTTAAGTTAACTTAGAAAAATACTTTCTTAAAAATTTAGGACTTAATTCTATTTTATCAAACATTTTTGTACTCAAACATTTTATCTTATAATAGCACTTGTTCCTTTTTCTTACAATTTGAGTGCAATATTTATTACAATAAATATAAAATGTGTTTTTAAAAATTATAATTTTAGATTTAATTATAATGCCATTAATCCTAGACATTATTGTTGCGCTGCGTTGTTTTGTTTTATTTTGCGGCGATTCTCATTGCAGAAATCCCCGATCCATTTTTTTACATAAAGCTCAATATTATCTCTTGATTGTGGCAAGTAGTCTATTTTCTTTCGTCGTTGTAAATATAGGCAGAGTTCTGAAAATAAAAAAATATTAGTCTATTTGTTTAAAAAATATCTAAAAACTGGTTTACTTATCTACACACATACAATATTTAAAAAACAAAAGTTTTAAAAAAGAGTATGGGTGTCTATTGCGTTATACATTTTACCTTTGACTCGCAGGCAGTGCGCATCACTTATAGCAATACTTTCGGGATCATCTTTTGGACACTTAATGTACATTCTCTGTAACTCTGAGTCGGTCCACAATTTCCCCATAATTGCGGAGGCACGGCCATGCATGCTTGGTTTCAAAACTGCCTTCGCCACTTCATTGCTTGTGAACTTTGTTTGTCCAATCTGGATGTACTATTTTGATCAAAAAAATATTTCATTATTTCAATAGTAAAACTAATTATATTTTTGTATATTAACATCTAATACTTCAAAATTAACTGAAGAATATTTTTTTTAATACTGTTTTTATTATTAATATACATATTTTATTAACTTTTAAGTTATTATTTTCACGACCGATCATGTGTTTTTTAAATTAGAATAGATTCATGCCTTTCAGGTCATTCGTAACTAGTGGATCTTTTTAATCCAAGTCCTGGCTTGGCAACCAATCTCATTTATTTTTTCAAAGTTTGTCTTTACTCGCATTTAATTTCTTTCATTTAATTAACATCTTTACAACTACGAACAGATACTACAAGCTTCCAGCTTTACTAGTATTAAAGTTCGATGGATTTCCATCGAACTTAGTGGAAGAGACGAAACTCTCGACACATAGGGAAGATGGAGTATGTCCATCTATGGACTTGAATTAAAAAGATCCACTAGTTACGAATGACCTGAAAGGCATGAATCTATTCTAATTTAAAAAAATATTTTATTAATATTGTTAATCTGCTGTAAAACTTTTAAAGCATAGAAAGTATGAAAAAAGTTTTAATTAATTTAAAAATTTTTAAATCATTTAAAAAAAACTGTTTATCTAATTATAATTGTTGAGAAAATTGACATCAACGTATTTTTTTTTTATATAAATTGAGCTTAATATTTTCATTTGTCAAAGTTTAACTATTTTTTTGAGTTATGAAGACTGGTAAAATATGTGTACGATTACTATTAACATTCTACGTAATTAAATGTTGGGGTTGTCCAAAAAAATTTTCCTTTCGGTGTTATCAACTTTAAAGTTTTATCTAAATAAAACAATTATCCAAAAAGTGCAGATCAATATCTTAACTCTAAGAGACGTTTACCTATTTCCCGTTTCCCCATACATAGTACGCATATAATTCTTTATGCATAATTGTATATTTCTAATTGCATTACAGTGAATCTGATTATTATATAATTCCGTTTTTAACTGCAAATAGTGAATCCAGCGTTAAAATATAATACAACACTCCAAGCAAAATCGTATAGTTACAATTTCAATTTTTAATGACTTCCATTTTTATTTGTCATTTTCTTACTACCCATTAAGGGGGAACACCACTGTGACGATCGATAAAAAGAGGTAATTTTCGGAAATTTTTTTGACAGGGAAAATAAAAGAATTTCGGAATCGGGTTTTTTTTATTTTATTAAGGATACATTAAAGATTATTACCCTAAACTTTTATTAAAAAATATTCAATTATTACAAAGTTATTAACAATCTCGTCGAGCACTGGAGAAAATTTCTCTCCTCCACGGTCGGTTCGATAACTCAAAAACAGATCATCTGAAAAAAAAAACCCAAATTGCTTTTTAATCAGTAAAGATGTAGTTATCGTCGCACGTACCGAATTTGAAAAATTTTGATTTTAAAGATTTTTTTAGTCGGGTTAAAAAAAAAAAAAACAGTAAGAATAGTGAGAAAATTTTCAATCTGTCGCCATTTTTTTTTAAATTCAAATTTTCAAAATTCCGTACGTGCGACGATAACTACATTCTTACTGATTAAAAAGCAATTTAGGTTTTTATTTTCAGATGATCCGTTTTTGAGTTATCGAACCGACCATGGAGAGGGAATTTTTCTCCAGTGTTTTATGAGATTGTTAATAACTTTGTAATTATTAAATATTTTTTAATAAAAATTTAGGGTAATAATTTTTAATGTACCCTTACTAAAATAAAAAAAATCCAATCCCTAAATTCCTTTACTGTCCCTGTCAAAAAAATTCTCAAAAATCACCTCTTTTTCGATCGTCACAGGGGTGTTCCCCCTTAAAAAACCTATTCTGTTTAACTTACAGATTTTTTTTTATGACCTGTTTAAGAAATATCACATTTTATAGAAAAATTACTTTTTTCCAGAAATTTCCATTTTTTTCTTTGTAATTCAAAGAAAAAAAAAACAGTTTGTTGATGTGCTTCTATTTGCACTGTTTCAGTTTAAAGTTTTTAATCTTATCTTGTAAACTATACTTACTTTTCAATTTTTTTTTATAATTTTTTTTTCTTTAAGCTTCTATCTAATACAAATATTTTTAACCTAGACTAATGGTGAAAGTACGGTAGTTAACATATTTTTTTCTAATTTCTTACATTTCGACAAATATTTATACTTTGTTAACAACTTTTAATAGAAATTTTGAAAAAATAAAAGAAAATTCTATTTAGGCCATTTTTTGGCTAAAGTGAAAAGCCGAAAACAAAATGATCTTTTGAATATTGAATATCTTTGGAACGTGAAATAAAAATAATCTTTAAATTAACCGGGAACAATTTTTGATAGGTACAAAAAAACGGAAATCTAAAATGAAAATTTTTCAAACTATCTGATATAGCGTGGAAAGCCCAATTTCTAGTCTGTTTGAAGTTATTTCACACAGAAATTTGTTTATTGTTTCGAAATTATATTAGTTTTCATTTAGTTTAGCTGCAAAGGTTTATTGTCTGATAACTTTTTATTCGTCAATTTCACGGGAAAATTTTATAAGCTTTTCTATTGAGCATTAAATTTTTGATAATATCATGCAAACCAAAATTGTGAAAAAAATGTTTTCTTTCGTTTTCTGCGGCAAAAGAAAAAAAATTTTTTTCTTGGATTATTTATATGCAATTTATGAAAATAAGAATCAAATTTCAGTAATTAAACCCACACCACACAGTCAACGCTCTCTGCATTTGATTCGCCCGTACAGGACCATTCTCTGTACTTGACTCGTCCTTGTCCATAAGAGCTGTGCAAAATCGTCAAATACAGAGGAAGAATGTGGTCAAATACAGAGAGGTCCAATAGAGAGAGCGTCGACTGTAATCGGTATGTCTACCTTACTGAAATGTTATTGAAATATTAAAAAAATTTACCTCTACATCATTTTCTACAGTGATCGTCTCTATAAAATTCGGGATTTTGGAAGTTTGCTGCTGCTGCGGCTGTTGTAAATTTCCATTCTTGTTTTTTATATTTCTCTGAGCTTTTCGGATCTTTACTAGATTTTTACTTATAGTATTAAGCTGTCTTACAGTTGCATTATATGGTCTTCGCATACCGAACTTCTTTCTTGGTCGTGGTGTTTGAAGTGATTTCCGAATCTGATTCATCGGAGAAGTTTCATTGAGCAGATCAGTTTCATCTGGAGAACGAGTTTCATTCAGAGAAGGAGTTTGATTTAGCGGAGGACTTTTATCGTTCTCTTTGTTAGCTCCATCATCTTCATCATCTACGTTCTATTGGTAAATAAATAAATAATAATTAATACGCCATATATATTCTAGATTGTGTATTAGAAATAAGAGTTTTTAACTTATTAATACTTTATCTCGTAAGTAAGTGAGCGCTGACACCACATGCATTCTGAATTCTTAATTTTAAGAATGGATATCAAGTGATATTATAATAACCTGTTTTTTTTTATACTAATAAATAGTAGTAACAAATGTAAGAATGCAACTTTAATTTTTAATTTCATTTTTTTTATACTAAAATATCCAAATTCGGAAGTTAGAGAATAATGAAATTTTCTATCCTGACTGAAATTAAAACGTTATAGTGCTTAATTTTTGTAAAATAAACAAAAATCGAAAATTATTCAGGTTTATCAAGCTAGCTAAACTTGTCTATCAGGCATTGACTTATTATTCAAGCAACAAAATTTATTTGTGGTGCTTAATTTGTTGCTTATTAGTTGCTCTACTTAGAATGTTGTTGCTTGTTTAGATTCCAATAAATTAATAATAATATCCGTCCAAGATGGATTTTGCCACTGCTAGCTTGATACGCCCAAATTATGCAGTGTTCTGAAGCTTAGAATGAATAAATACCCGTTATCTACTAAGCAAACTTTAAATTACATACTTTTATAGTTTTCGGACTTTCTTATTTTTTTGGATCATTAATAAGTATCTCAGATACCCTTCTGGGTATCCTATTAACAGCTCAACCACAGACATATAACTGGTATACCATTAATCAAAGATACATTAATATTTGAGATGTTTATTGGTAGATTTACTTATGGTTGAATTGTCAAAGGGGTAAAAGATATTTGGTAAGTTAAATGTGCCATTTTTTTATGTACCAAAAATAACTTTTTCTTTTCTTGAGAAATGATTTATAACGATTGCTAATTTTAGTAAAAACTAAAGAATTTTATTTTTTTTCAAATTTTGTGGTGACATTTATAAATAAAATAATTGGAATTTGTTAATGTGTATTTGTAAAAAGTCTTGATTATAATACGTAGGAAATAGTGATAAGCAGACAATTTTTTATCATTCGAAAATTTTTTTTGTTTGACTCATTTATGATAAAATTTCTTTTACATAATTACATATGACAAATGCATCAGAAGTTGATCAAGCATCAATAGTAGACCGATCATACATAAAAGACGTAATGTTTGTCATTTAGTGAAAATTATATGGTCCACAAATTATTTTTTCATCATTACTTCGGTAATATTATACATAATATATTTATAGTTGCAATCAATATTTCACATTGTTTGCAACCTTAAAAATAATTTATTACTATTATAATTAATGATTTATTTGGTAAGAAATTTTTCGTCAAAATTAACTTCATTTAACACAATCTGTGTGTAACGATAAAGTGACACGGCTCTTTATTATAAGTTACGCAGCTTTGTGTTAATTTAACTTTGAAACAATGACGAAAAATTTTGTATTGTGAAAGATACTCGACAGTATAATTTTTTGTAAATCGACTATTAAAAATAAAACGACTATTTTTTTTGGCTGAAACTAAATTATTTTTTTAAAGATAAAAAAAAATTCTCTCTAAATTTGACTCTTACTTTTCATTTTAAGTATTTTCTCTTTCACTTTTTTTTCCACTTAAAAAGTATGTATTATTTAAGTAACTTATTTATCTTTTTTCTTTTTAATTTTTTCAATGCAATTAATATTTGAAAGTAAAAGCCTAAATTATTTTGAATTAAAAAAGTCAAGTACTGGTATTCTTCTGGTATCTATTTTCTCAAGTTACTTGTGATACATAACGATAATAATTCAAATAAATTTCATTATAATTCAGAATCTTATAGATTTATATATATATATATATATATCAAAAACTTTCAATTGTATTAATAAAGTTTATCATCAAATTTATAATAACCGGAGAAATACAAAAATCTCAAACGAGAAGCAATGGTGCATTTACTCTATTTCATTTTCTCCTGACTTGTTAAAAATAAAGTAGTTTTAGATTGAAATTATTTTTTTAAATCTTTCTTTTTTAACTTGTAGAATCGTTATTTTTAAAAAGTTATTGTTTTTCTCAAAATAATCTCAAGATTTTATTATATATTATATTCTCAAAGATTTAAAAATAAATTTTACGATTATTAGAAAAAATTTAATCACATTGCTTACTTGATCTTCTGCTATGGAATCGCGATTCGTATCAACTATAACTACTAATGCAAGTTATTCTAATGGTATAGAAGTAATTATTTTATACTTATAATTTCAGCATATCGACTGCTAATAGCACTAAACTATAGACAGTGATTTTTAAAACTTACATTGTCACTTAATTCAGGTAGCTCTTTCTGAGCCGGTTCAGCTAATCGGATACGGTAATAATCTCCCGAGTCCTGTACATTGTTGTCTCTTGAAGTTGCAAGTGTGCCCTATAAAAAGATCATAAATTTAAGCATTTATCCATTTACTAGTTGATAAACATTTGGAGAACTTACTTAGATATTAATATTAACTTTTATTTAGTTTTGAAATTTATGTTAAGTTATTCAACACATGTGTAGGATGACTCAACAAAATCATGAATTTATTTAATTGCAATGAATATATTATTCTGGATTGTTATAAAACTTTTTAAGTTTGACCATTCATTCCTTATTTTTATAATATTAAAATTATAATCAATTCATAATGTATTTATAATACCGGAAAACAGACGTTACCAGAAGAAGTATACTTTCAAGATATATCACAAAAACAACATATATACAAATATTCACCCTTGTAAGTAAATCTTCAATAATTAGAATATATATTTTTTTTTTCAATTTAAATCCGAATAAAGTTAAAAAAATTTTAATATTTCAATGTAAAATATAATTTAAAAAAAATTATTTACAACTTACTTTTTTTTTTTTTGAAGTTTTCTTCAACGACTGATCTGATATAAGACGTGGGCTATATTCAGGCAATTTTGAAGTGATAATGCGAGTATCCACCGGATTCCTTTTTATAATTGCATTATAATCATCTGTTGGTCATAAGTTCAATAATTAATTATTAGAAGCAATGCATCGTTAACTGGTACACTTATTCTTACTAATAGAATTCTACTACAATGAAATAAGTAAAATCAGGAATTACCATCAGTGTCGACTATAGTGAAAGTCGCGTTGCCTAATTTCAGATGATTGTCGCGGACATAACACACACTACCATCCTGGTATTGGCTTGGTTTAACGGGTTGCAATTCATCCTTCTCATCCAATTGATAAACACTTGTTGTAGGTACTATATAATATTTTGAACGATTTGTATTCGTTATAAGACAGAATGATGCCATTGTTACATTTGATGTTTGACCTAAAAGAAAAATTCTTGATTAAGTAATAAATAGATTAAAAACAAGTATATAAATTATATGATTGGTTTGTTGAAAAAAATCGTTCTTAAATGTCAACTATTTTCTCCATCAATTATCGCCTTTTTTGTTGGACAAGACAAATTTTTCTATAATAGTGAAAATCGCAAATAGATTTTGAACTAAAGTTACGTTGGAATATGTTTTTTTTGCATTGAATACCAAATTAACTAAATAATATTTTGAAAATAATTGATGAGGAACTCTAGTAAACTGTAAAAAGAAATCAAAATATAGCTACTTCATTTGTAACAGCCTAATCTAATTGTTAAAAACATTCGTCTAGAATTTCGGGAACGTATATTATTCATGGTTACAGATTTTATGTGGCTTAATTTATTTATTTTTTTTTTTAATTATATTATTTTAAATACTAGGAACGAGATTTTACTGTTACTTTAAACGAGATTTGACTGTTTTGAAAAAACCACACTGATAGAAGGATTTGTTTATAGTCAAAAATATTTGTTAATATTTAACAAATCTTTTATTAGAAGCCATTTTTTAGACCTTATAATAAATATTTCTTAGTATTTAAAAAGATTTATTAATATTTAATAAATGTATATCAGATTTATTAAATACAAATAAATCATTTTAAATACTAAGAAATATTTATTTAATACTACAAAGTCATCTCTAATAAACTTAAATTATTATTATTGTTGTTGTTTATTTATTTATTTGTTTCTTTACATAAAGACCCAACAGCAATTGCCAATAACAGGGTCACTAGAGTATAAATTTGTAAATATAAATATAACGTCCTTTTACAATATCATATTACATATTTGTAAAATACAAAATGGAAGTAAAAAAAAAAAAAAAAACAATAATACTTTAATGTACTTAAAGTAGTGCACTGAAAGAAGAACAAAAAAAGAAAATATGTTTATAACAAAGATCAGTACAACAATGTTACAAATTATTATCAAAAATTTCAGTGTAAAAAATAATTAATTTAAACTAAATTTAATTTATAACTTGTTAATAATTTAACTTAATTATTAACAATTAAGTTGTTAATAAAATTATTAATAAAATTATTAATAAAATTATTAATAATTAAGTTGTTATTGTTATTATTATTTTATTTTGATACGATGTTTGTGAAAACGATCAAAGAATTTTAGCAGATATGTCCGTTAAATCTACTATTATTTTTTAATAATAGAAAAAAAGAAACAACCATCGTTAGAAATTTTAAGAATTTCAAATAAGCTTTAACAATTTCTTATATGAAAAAATAAAGAATAAATAATGATATAGAACATTTACAATTACTTCCAAAAATCTTAAAAAAACCATTGATGGTTGGCTTTAATTAATTTATCTATAGTTTTTCAAATGGATATTAAACCTTCAGTACCCACGGTATGAGAATTTTTCTCACGCAACAACATTCAACTTATAGGATGTCGCTGCAGTGGAAGTGAGACACTAAAAAGAACGTGGGTACTGAAGGGTTAAAAAATAATCATTTGATATGAAAATCAAGTTAGCCGACATCTAACAATTTTTGTATTTTGTTTTATCGAAAAATTATTAGAAAAAAATTAAAAGAAAAAATTTTACATGTCGAAAATTTTAATAACTATATAATGCAATTTTTTAAAAATATTTTTTTAGTTCTAATTTAATTAATAAAAACAAAGTCAAAAATCGTTGAACGTCGGCTAATTAAAGTATCATTCATTTAATTGGCTTTATCCAACAAAAGACTTTTTAACAATAAATTTTTTTTTAATTATTTATATTCGTAATTATAAAACTAGACAACGTAGCAAAAGGTTTTTTTTCGATGCTTGATAAATTACTGATTCCCAAGTTATTAGTTAATAAATAATTATAAGTCACGTTATTTAGATTATTCCATTATTCCAATAATAAAGATTAAATATTTACTTACCAAAATTGCAATAATTAATTATTATCCAAGTATTGACGGAATGTAATCAGTACGTCTTTATAAACTTTACTTCTAGATCAAAGCACTTGTCATGACGACCGAACAACAATAGACTGGATGACTTAATACGATTGACGAGAGACAACACTTGCGCTGAAAAAAAGCGGGAAAGAAGCCGGTGCTCAGACCAATCGATATTTTACCCAATCAGTGTATATGTATATGAAAGTTGTGAAGTTGTGTTAGTATACACCGAGTTTCGTATACTATGTGAAAACATCTAGTACATACATAATACATGCACATTTGTCTGAACCTGTCGCTACTGTCGCTCAACAAGTCGCATTTTACTCATCAGCACGTGCTATAACCGCACGTGCTATAACCTCACACACACACACACACACACACACACACACACACACACACATTTGTGTACGAATGCGACTTAGTCACTTAGTAGCAACGGTGGCGTGTCTTTTGCTGCGACACCGAATTATATGCAACGTAGAGGAAGCTACAAGAAACAGTCGAGTTTTCTGTTCTTAACTTCAAGCAAGCGACATAACTATACGAAAAAAGTTTTTTATATATGTACAGCGTAAATAAGATTGCTACTATCAAATAATTAATAGTCAGTGGTGTGAAAGCTTTATTGAAAATTATTAACTTCTTGGTTAATAATATTGGAAAGTGATGATATCATCGTAATATTGGTTTTAAAAAAATTGTTTATAATTACAATATTGAAAGTGTGGAATATTAATCAAAATTAAACGTAAGTAACCTTAAATAATTCTTATAAGAACTTCATACATATGTTTTAATTTTTGATAAAAAAAAATTATTTATTTATTTACATAGATCATACATAATGAAGAGGCAATTGAGTAATTCTCGAACAGCAGTGTATAAGAGAAACAAAAAAAAAGTCACAGATTTTTTAACCGCATTTCCAGTCGGAAACGGCTTACCTGTTCCTCGAAGCTATTTTCCAACAGAGGTAAGCTAAGATATGTTGCTATAGTTAAATTTTTTTCATTGTTTCAATAAAATTCAAAGTCTATATTAACAATTGTTAAACTGCCATGAATATATCAAATAGTGATATGAAAATTAAGTTAGCCGATATCCAAAAATTTTTAGAATTTTTTTATTAAAAAAATTATTACATAAAAATAAAGATGAAATTTTCATTTGTAAAATACTTAAAAAATTATAAGTCAAATTTTTTTGAAATGTTTTGTTCTAATTTAATAAATGACAAAATTTTTAAATTTAAAAACGACGACTAAATTTTAGTATTGTAAAAGTATAAAAATTAATTTAACCGACATCTGAAAATTTTAGAATTTTTTTATCAAAAAAACTGCTACATTAAAATTCGATAAAATAAATTTTCATTTGTAAAATACTTAAAAAATTATAAGTAAAATTTTATTTTTGATTTCTTTGTTCTAATTTAATAAATAAAAAAATTAAAAACGTCGGTTAACTTCCCTGATTAAAAAAAAGTATTGAGACAAAGGAAAAAGTATTGAAAAGAATTGGTTTCCTAGTCAATCCAATTCATTTCAATACTTTTTTCTTTGTCTCAATACTTTTTTTTATTCAGGGTTTAGTATTGTAAAAGTATGAAAATTAAGTACGTTGACATCTAAAAATTTTTAGAATTTTTTTACCAAAAAAATTACTACATAAAAATAAAAAATCAAATTTGGATTTGTAAAAAACTTGAAAAAACATAAGTGAAATTTTTTTGTTCTAATTTAGTAAATAAAAAAAATAAAAACGTTAGCTAACTCTAATATTGTGGAAGAATAAAATTGTTGACTGAGATCTAAAGATTTTTAGGATTTTTTTATCAAAAAAACTGTTACATTAAAATTTGATAAAAAAAAATTTTCACTTGTGAAAAATTTGAAAAATTATAAGTAAAATTTTATTTTTCATTTTTTTGTTCTGATTTGATAAATAAAAAAATTAAAAACATCGATTAACTTTAGTATTATAGAAATATAAAAATTAAGTTAGCTGACATCGAAAAATTTTTAGAATTTTTTTACCAAAAAAATCACTACATAAATATAAAAAAAAAATGGTGTGTGTACTTATGTACACGCGTTAGAAGTTATACTTCTTTGGCACATAATAAAAAATATTTTAAAGAAAAAAAAGTTTGGAAAATCCAAAAGTGCACGACTCATAATGCTCATTTAATTATCAAATATTGAAAAAAAAAAAACATAAGTCGTTGAAAATTAGTTGCTAAAAAAACAGCTGTACTAGGAAGGTACTGCACAAGCGCCTCTGGTGGAATAAATAAATGTACATAATATCTATAGGTATAAATATATCACCATCCATGTTAATTTTACATGGATATATATAGACATACAGTCTTGTAGTTTTCGTTTTTTATTAAT